AGAAGGATGGAGGTTCTCCTCCAGTGCGATTTACTGCTTCTGAAAACCCACTACAGGGTCAGCTATGAGTTGGTTCTAACTCAATAGCACACACTACAAACTCATAAAAGATGAAAGTGGACTTAGGTTTTGTGACCATGCTGCTGTTATTGTTGTTGAAACTATGCAGAGTCACAGACAGAACTTACCTAACATACTGGGTGGTCATTGTAAAGTTGGGATTGAGACTTGATCCAGACCCAGTCTTGTGTTTGGAGAGATAATGAGAGTAGGGACAGAATAGAAGTACACATGGGAGAAGTTTCCCATCTTTCTCCACCGGAGCAGCTGGTGGATTCAAAACACAAAGCTCGCCAATGACAGAGTACTTCCTCTACCATTAAGGCACCAGAGCTCTAAAATAGAAATAGGAACTTCAAACTGCGTCAACTTTAGATACCCAGAGGGTATTCTCTATCAGAACTTTGGGTGTTCCTTAACTAATTACAATAAACACATAAACAAATGAACAGAAAGTATAAGGGAGGTTAGTGACTTAGTGGTTAAGGAGTCGCACCGGCAATCCAAAAGCAGACAGTTAAACCCACCAGCCGATCCATGGGAGAAAGATGGACAATCTCCTCCAATATGATTTACAGCTTCTGAAAACATGCTAGAGGGTTAGTTATGAGTCCATTCTGGCTTTGGAGCACATAATAGCAACAATGTAAGTGAACTCTAGCTTGGTATTCTATAAGTTACCTGTTAGATGCGAATCCTTAACATCCTTCATTAAAAATGTATTGATTGCCTTTAGTTAGTTCACTTTGTACTGGGGATTGGAAATATAAAATAGGATAGTTTGTAGAATAAAAGGTTCACTGTTCATAGGAGAGATGGGTTATTTCACGTTATGTGCAGTAATTCCGTGTAATAGAGACCATCAAGGTAAAAGGCAAGATGTAAGATTCTGTAGGCAGGTTTTCTGGGTTTGAATTGCTCATGTACATTCTAGTTCCATGACCCTGAGCAAGTTATTTACACATTGGTACTCAGTTCTCTCATCTGTAAAATAGGACTAGTAAAAGTATAATTATAATGGTATAATTACTAAAATGAAAGGCATTAAAGTACATTTAGAGTACTTAACAGTGTCTGACTACACTTACTGCTATAATGAGTTGCATGGAATATTGCATGAGGTTAGAGGAGAAGAATGAGACCCCATCTCAAGAAACATCATGAGACAAGAAGACAGATGTTTCAGTTGAGATGAGGCCTGAATAGAGTCTTGAAGTGTCGACATAGAGGTCAGAAATGATGTAAGATTGTTCACCAAATCATGCACACACAGAATAAAGAGAAGTCAATGAGATAGTAGGTATTTGGAGTGGTGAGAGAGCAGACTCTAGACTACACAGTGGAATTTATTTTTCAGAAAATAGTGTCCTGAGTGGTGTTGTGTTATGCATGTCCTTCCACCCTTTGTTTTTTTAATCCAATAATTTTACTGTTCTCTCTGCTCTGCCATTAATTTCTCTTCATCTTTTATTCAATTCTGTTCTTGGCTGCAAAATAACACTTTGGGGGGAAAATTGTATTTAAGTAGGTCATCTCTATGCACAAACCTGCATTTTATTCTGTTTCTCTTCAAACCAACTAGAAATATTTTGACTAAATAGTCATTCCCTCCTATCTACTCTTCACCAACTCATCTCTAAATGTTCTCTCTGTGGTTATTCTTTCAGTCAGATATCACTTTTTATCTCTATTTCTCTAGTCTCCTTGCAGTTTTTTATATACTTTAGTATCTGATTTTACTAAAGTTTCTTTTTTAAATTCTTATTTTTCTCAGATGAATTTTAATTACTTTCCTAAGAATGAACTCAACTTGGAAGGTCCTGAAGAAAAAGAAGTCTTGCTTGGATAGGCCCCATGAGAAGTTGGTAAGGTTCTGACTTCAGGTACCTTACAATTTATACTGTGGTTCATATAATTAATTCCAGGTATTTCACTATTCTCTCTCCACATTAATTTGTCTTGTCTGTAGTAGAAATGCTGCCATCTGGATACCCTATACTGTAAAAATATTTACTGTATATTATATACTAAAGATCCCAATAAGTTGAGTTAACCTAGTATATGTAAATAATATTTCATGATACAAACTCCTTAATAATATGCCAGGATTATGACATTAAAGTTCTGAGCATCTTTAAAAATTACTTACTGCTCCCTAGATAACTAGGTTAAAGGAACCAAGATGATAGATTTTAGCTAACATTTCCAAAGGTATTGCATTTCTTAATTGAATGGTTTTAAAGTTCAATTTCAATTATAGGATATGAGTGAAGTTGTAAAGGAATTCAGAACTTAAAATAAACCTATGGTTATTGGAGTTTTAAGTGAGAGGAACAAGCACTTATCTAGTACCTACTGGCTACTTGACATCATAAGACTAGTACTTTTCCATAAACTCTTTCACTAAGCCATTATAATATGTTCTTCCACAGGAAGGTAATTATTATTTCAACCATTTTAAAGTCAATATCACTGATGCTTAGAATAGTTAAGGGTTTCATCAAAAGTAACCTATCAAAGTGATATCTTTGGGATTGGAATCCGGATCTACTTGACTCTAAAGTCAAAGTGCTTTGAGGGATTTGATAGATATTATTGTCATGGTTAAGTGCAGTCCAGTTGACTTTTACTTAGGGACCTCACCATGCAACAGATAGAAGTCATGCCTCTCCTGCTCTATCCTCATCATCTTCTCTGTACTTCATGAAGTTCACTGTTGCAGTCACTGTCATGTTAACTAATTTGATGATTACAGGTAAGTAACTTGCTTTTTTTTTTGTCTCAGTTCTTTTTTTTTAATGTAGAACTTACGCTAGGTAATCTCAAAACACTGTATGACTCTAAATCTTTGAGATAAATGTCATCTGTTTGATTCTTTAAAAAAATACTACTCTTAAAAAGCCCATTGCACAAGTCAGGTAGATTAACTGTGCACAATAATTGGTTAAAATTAATTACAATAACTACATATAAAGATTATTCACATTTATACATTTTGTACTATCTGCATTATTTAAAATATTCTGTGGTAAGAACAATTTCTAGCATTTTAATGGAGTTAGCCAAGCTTAAACTCTCTTTTTCTTTGTTTATGAAGTACTTATCAAAGTGCATAGACCGCAGAAATTTTATCTGATATACTCACTTTTGCTTGAGGTAAGTTTTAAGATGTTTCTACAATCCTTTTACTGTTTCCTGGTTGAGCGATGTGGACATGTTATGAGACATGCTTCTGGAGCTATGTCTAGAATCAAATTATGTATTCAGTTCATGTGTTTTTACTCGTATTAGTATGTATATTTACTCCCAATAAAGTAAAAATACGTGATGCAAAAGTATATCTAACAGTTTAGAGGTCAGTGAACAGTTAATAAGTTGCTGTTTGTTAGTTGTTACGCATCGCCAAGTCAACTCTAACTCATAGTGTACTGACCTCCGCCCTTTCCTGTGCTGTCTTCATTATCTTCTGCTGTCCTTGAACCCGTTGTTACAGTCATTGTGTCAACTTATTCAACTGAGGTCCTTCCCCTCCTTCACAGACCCTCCACCTTTCCAAGCACGGTAACCTCTTCCAAGGACTGGCCTCTCCTAACATGCCCAGAATGTGTGAGACAAAGTTTCACTATCCTTGCCTCTAAGGAGCACCCTGGTTGCATCTTCTCTAAGATATATTTGTTTGTCCTTTTGGTTTGTAATTACCATTTATTGTTAATAATGGTAAGTTTTACTAGACTTTCATGCTTTTGTTTCCAAGTATTCTGCAATTAAATATCACAGGATAAATAAAATTATAAAGCAATATTTACATCTAACAATGAACATGAGCATTATAATTAATTTTTCCTTTATATTCTAAGGAATCTATTTAAAATTATTATATATTTTCTATAAATTAGAAATAGTATAAACCTGTAACTTGGAATATGTGGAATATGGTGAAGTACCAATATATTGAATCTTTCCACTGGATTATGACCACTAAAAATTTATTGTTCCGATGTTAACTTTTGGCACAATGTGACTCTTGTGGAGGAGGAGATTTGGCCAGTATTAAAAGCTGGACATTTTTTCCAAACATTAACAATCACATAACTGATAATCAACTCTGTATTTCTTGCCTATAAAGTTTTGAGTAGTTTGTCACAGAACTTGACTAGATAAAATGAGAACCTTTTCCATCAAGCCATCAGTATAATAGATACTCCAAGGCACATACTGCCATTACATCCAAGGAGGAAACTTTTGATGTACTAATTTATACCTTCAGGCTTCAGAGCTAGCTTGTAGGATATCCTCATTAAAATTAGCTATTGGAGAATAAAGAATCCAAGAAAAACTAAAAACAAACTCCAAGGTATTTTAAAATATGACACAAGCAGTAAAAGAAAGACCAATAAATACCATGAAGGTGAAGAAAATAATGGTTCTTTTTTTAACTACCTTTTATAATGCAAAGATTGAGAGAAAAATTAAGTTTGATACGGAATCTTGGAAGTAAAAACTCTAATCAGCAGAGAACAGAATGAAGCTATTATTTGTTCTTAAGAAGAAGTCTACAATACCTCCCAAATCAAGCTAATACGTCACCAAAAAACTCTCTTTGATTTCATTAAGGGGCTACAGACATAACTAAGTTTCCTCAAGAAGATATTTTATAATAACATAGAAGAAAGACAGAGGCAAGATGTAAAAATCTCAAGATACCCCACACATTTCTTACGGGGAGGGTTATTAGGAAAAAAAGTATAGATTGTGACCAGTAAGTCAATTCACTACTTGTTGACCTCAAGACTACTTCTGTGTGTGTGTTGCAATAAAATAATCTTAAATTCAAAGGAAAATGTAAAATAAATTTCCTAGTTTTATTCTTTTATGTAGCATTCTACTAAGCATAACATATCAAAAGTTAGTGCTTAACAAATACGGAGGGTCATTCATACCTTAAATTCCTCCAAGATTTTGTAATTTTTCCCATGATATTCACAAAAGTTTTTCACTTCTTTGCACTCAGGACAGCATCCATTGTGTTCCACTTTAGTACACTTTGGGTGAATTTTAGGACATTCTGGCTGGTCACAAACAGGTCCATCCAAAGCACAGATGCATGGACAGTTGGAATGTCCCGGGAAAAATCGTTCTCCCAACTTGTATACAAAACCGCTGTCATCCACACACCCTTTCCCTCGATAGTCATCAAAGATCAGATTATCATTGCTGGAAGTCTGGTCGCCTTCATCGGCAGGGTAATCTTCATGACTGATGGCAGCAGAAGTAACCAATCCAGGGAGGACCAACAGAAGTATGCAGGCTTCATGGATATGAAGAGCCATCCCCCTCCTCAAACGTGTCTGGATGTGCTCCTAATAGTCAATATACACAGCTGCTTCCATGGGAATACAAGAGGGGTCAGCTGAAAAGAAATATTTAAAGAGAATAATTTGACATACAAGAAGAGAATGTAGATTTAATTAAGGCCATGCTCTTAAATATGATTTGGATCCATAAAAAAAAACCACTAGTACTCCAAAAAGTCTAAGTTCATGCAACTATCTACATTTTATTAAGAAGTTTTAAGAGTTTGCATTTTGTAACATATGCATTAAAATTGTCATTTACAAATTATTCTACCTAGGTACTTCAACTTGAAATGAACTTTTTCATTTTAAAGTTCTAATTTGTTTGAATCACATGAGTTGATTTTACTAAACTTCAAAAGTTGGTGACAAGTAATGATTACAATCAGTTCAAGAATGTTTGGATTCACATTATTTATTATTACTAATAAAAAAGTTATCGGATATATATATGTACTTATCTTCTGTATCAAAAAAAGTAGGTTGTTGAGGGAAATCTATTTCTATATAAAGGGGAAATCCAATAGTTGAAGTTACAATTGGGGTAGAGATAGTACAAAACTAGTATGAAAGCTTTACTACTTCCTTGTGCCTATTATTGGAAACAATGATGGTACTGACATGGAGTAAAATGTTTTCCTGAATAAGAATCTGGATTCTGAAACATAGCTAAGAATAAAAACAGTATAAACTATTTGACAGTTAATAAAACAAAGGATATTTAAAAGAATAAATAGTAAAATAGAACTAGCATATCAAAGAAAGTTTGTTAAAATTAAAATTATTTGGACTCTTGTCCATATCTTTATTTTACTCAAGAGGTAAGCTCCTAGTGGGCAGGAAAGATGTTTCTGTTAATATTATTTTTACTGCAACAGTGATCCAGAATTCAGGTAATACTACTTTAACTAATTGCTTCGCAATAAAATTACTACCACTTTCACATTCTTAAGAACAGTTTTCCTTTTGACATGTCAAAATATTTGCATCTAGGCAGCTTTCAGAATAAGGCCAGCATACACTTGTTCACAGAACTTTCTGAAACTACCACAGGGTTTTGCTACTTATAATAAATACATTTCATTAATTTTAATAGTATTGGCTCATGGCTCTTGTAAACTTTACTTGATGTGGATTGTTGGTTGTAGCCATATGTATACATAAATATTTAGGATGACTATCTCACACAAAGGTTCTGAGGAAATTGTGCCTTTGAGAGGAACAGATAAGGACAACATAGGTAAATGGTTGATTCATCTATTTAAATACTATTGAATTTATGTTATATCCCTAATATTACATATAAGACATTTACAGATAATTTATGAATGTCATTTATTGGTTTCTTTTCAGATCACAACAAGAGCAATGATGAACAATCTCCTCAGTATTCCATGTACAGATGATGACTTTAAATAAGATCTAAGTGGTTTGGGAAACTTCATGCACTATCATATTATAGTGTGCATTTTAAGTTAGCTATGCAAATTTTAGTAATAGGAAAATGGGAGGTAGAATATTCATGCTTTCCTTCCAAAGGAAACTGCTCACTGATGTTAAAATTCTTTTTAGGTAGATAATGATAATGTAGATGGGATTCTTTTAAAATATGTCAAAAAATGATCCATGATAGAACAGGAAAATGCAAACCTATAATTCCAACTTGAGAAGCTTGAAGCTCCATTGACAAAGCATTTTTTCCTCTCAAATTACTACAGAGGCCAAACACATACAAGCCTCTAAAAAAGCATGAATGTATTTAACTAATTAAACATGCTATTATTTATCTCTCCTGCATTTAAAAAGTTTATATTGGAAGAAAAAGGAGCTATTGTGCTTTCTTATACTATTCTGGTAGTATCTGTCAGAGCACGCTAGGTAAGCCATAAATATACACGTATCAGTCTACTTCAAAAGGACATAGACAGAAAATGATCTCTTTGAAAGCTACAGGTAGGCATTAATATGTCAGATTATGATAAATGTAAACTTAGAGGTAAAAAAATAAGGAGGTAAGATATACTGGATATTAACATTAAACAAGCTTTTATTATTTGAAGTACATTTTAAAATCTGCTGCAACAACAACAACAACAAAAACAACTCAAGATTTTCTTTTTATTAAAACAAAGTTCTGTGGGTATTTTTAGAGCAGCTTCCTTCATACATTAGATCCAGTAGTGCAATTTATAATATTATATATTGAGGAGAAGAAACATTAGAAAAACAGAAATAAAATGTTTATTTGAAGATTTTAATAAGTAAACATTGCCAAGCTGAGGATTACTTCCTGGCTAAACTTTCCCCCCGACCCCCTATATTGCTACATATTTTACTTAAAATTACTGCATCTGTTTATTTGGCAAAAAAAATGTTCATGTCAAAAGATACACTTACCTAGTCACTCTGGAGGTTAATAGTGATGGAGGGGGTCACAGACCAATATGTACTAAAAGGTCAGGCAGGTTTTAGGGAAAGTAGTTCCTCTTTAATTGTCCAAAGAATACATTTTCAAGCATGAATTATAGGCAATCCATTCTCTCTACCACCCATTTCAAAACAGTCAAGAAGCAGTCTCCCGCCCTTCCAGGGAGAAACACAGCAGACACACATAAGAAATAAGCTTCGGACCTGTCTTCAGAATTCAAAGCAAGAAGCAATGCCGGTCCTGTAGAAATCCAGACCCCAGTAGTAGAATCATGTTGAACTTATTTTTAGCATTTTTCCTAGATCCTTCTCTGAAATTTCCCGGCTGATTACGCCTCCTCCACACATGAGTTCACTTACACAGTGTTTGCTACGGCAGCAGAGGTGATTTCGCTAGGCTCTCAGGACCACAAACAGCAACAGCATGCTTAAAGCCCGTTCCGCCGGTAATACCATCAGCATCATCCAAAATATGTTGCTCGGATCCCCTCTTACACACCAGAAAATGCTAAGTGTGAACGTGAAGGCAAGGAGCAACTTTAGCTGGGTTTCTGCATCACTGCGAGCAGTTTGCAGACTGCTGATGTGGAGCTCGTTCTGCCGGCAGCCGGGAATTCCTCAGCACCACGGACAGCGCCAACAACTGGCTTCTGAGCTCAGCTTGGTCAAAATCCGGAGCTGCTTCTGGAGACCAGGCTAGAGCCTTCTCTTGGCACTTGCTCTCTCTCTCTCTCTCTGTCTCCCTATACAGCAGGATGCATGCATTTGAAAAGGGGACCAGGGGAGCGTGTGAGATACTTATTTGCATTGAAATTACAACAACAACAAAATCATCATTGTAATTATACCTAATGCATTCTTGGATGAGCTGCAGAGATGAAAGTCCGGAAGAGGCTTGCATTTAAATTTGAGCCATCTGCAGTCCTCGATTTTTATTAATAGATAAGGCATAATCATTGCCTAAGAATCTGGAAAAAGGAATGTTCACAGATTTCATCTGACCTTTGGATTGCATAAGGACTTTCCCAGTGTTCTATGATTAAAGTTCAGATCTTTCTGCAGCTTGAATTTGATGAGGGGTGTGGTGGGGGAAGTAGCTGATTTCTTCTGCAGTTTGTTCTCTAACATTAAAAATCAATCTCCTGTAATTCATCTAGTCTGTCATTAGGCGTCATTGTATAGCTGTTTCTTCCAAACCACTAGCAAAGATGCTCTGTCTCTACATTTTTATCAAAATGAGAGAGAGAAAAAGACCCAGACACAAACAATTTTGCAGAAAGTTTAAATTTTTTTATTGGTAGTCACAAAAAGATTAAATATATATTTGTTGTTTGTTTTAAAGTAAATTGCGATTGTTACCTGCTAGCATATTTAATCAGCCGTTTACTGGTTTACAGGATGCATTGTCAAGCTTTAAAGGGAAGGTTTCCGCAGAGAGATGACCATCAAGACCACGTTCGAACTGTGCCATCAGAGCCTCCGGCAAACAGACTCTGGCCATCATAAGAAAACACCACTGTCTGTGCCTCACTCTCTTGGCCCGTCAACTTGTGAATCTGCCCTGATTTAAGATCCAGCAAATGGATAACTCCACTGCCACTCGCCACAGCTAAAACTCGACCTGGAAAGGGGGGGCGGGGGAGGGGGAGAGAGAAAGGGAGGGAGCGAGAGAAAGAGAGAGGAATGCCACAAACTTTTATGTCAACCAGTCACAGCTTACAAGCAATGGAATATTCTGGCTTATTTTAAGTGTAATTAAAAAATAATTTTATATTAGATTGCAGTCATTAAAGATGAATTAACTATTATGTGTATTAGAAATCATTTCACTAAAAAGTAAGACAAGTCAGTAATTAGATGTAAATAAAATAAAAAGGAGAAGGAGAGGGAGGCAGAGGACCAGGGGGTAGGGCAGGGAGGCGACTACCAGGATAACAGTTTGGTGAGAGGGGAAGTGAGGGAATTAGGAAAGAGACAATGAGGACCTGAAAAAGCAGGACTCTTGTAGGCATAGATTAATGATGATTAATTTTCTAAACACAGGGTATATGAGTGATCCTTAGAAACACAATGTGAATGTAGTAATATGTGAAAATGCAACATACATGAATGATACACCAGGTATACAACTTTTGTACATTAAACAAAATAAAATAAAAATGAAGAGGGGGTAACCTCACAAAAATCTAGTGCTCTATCAGAATTTCTTTCAGAAATCGAGAAATATCCCACAATTCTCCTTAAGTTCTTTTATTTTATATTAAAATATTTTAATATTTAAAACAATGATGCACTGTACTTAACTATCTCAAATAAATTATATGTTACAAAGACTTTAGAGATGTTATTGTTACTGTTAGGTGCTACAGAATCTAATACAACTCATAATGACCCTAGGGACAACAGTTCTGAGCCCTGTTCTATCCTGTTCGGTATGTGTTATAAGTGGAGATTTGCAATGTCTATCTACCAAAAAGTTATATATCACAAGTAATTTATGTATTTGAATTGGAATTTAAATTATTATTCTGAATATTGAAAAAATAAAATAATATACATTTCTGCTTTCAAAAGGTGACACTCCTTAAAATAAGTTTCTTATTTTCTTGGAGTTAAAGTAGACACCTTCATTTCAGAGATGACTTAGACTTTTCACACTATATTCAAAACTTTATTAAATTGCATTTTGTTGCATAAGAAAGCTAAATACAACACAATGTCTTCTCATAATTTTTATATTAAATACATTTGAGTGGGGATTTTTTTATAAAATGAGAACGAATTTACTATCAAATGAGAACTGGCAATCCAATTTTAATTAATACTTTATTTAGGTATTCCAGTGGGAAACTACTAGGGAATTTGGAAGCAAGTTCCAAGGAAATAGAATATGTTTACATAAACTCAATAATTTGGTTGAATAAGGATATCGTGACTCTAAATATGATTATATAATCATAATTAGGGTATATTATCGTATTAGAAATATCTAAAAATTAGTAAGCTTTCCCTCTATAGTACCATTTTATTTAGTACTTGATATGGATTATCACATAAAGGATTTACCATCATAATCCATGTTAAAGATTTATGTAGATGAAAAAAGAAAGGTTTGAAAAGGCTTAGTAACTAGCTCCACATGACATTCTAAGTATGAGTAAAGCTACTTAATCAATTGGGATTCAGAGCCCGAGTATTTACCCATCATCTTTTCTATAACCACTATGGCACTGAAATCAATGATGCCTTTTTGACAGATTTAAGCTAGTGACAAATTATGAAAACAGAACTTATTCATTCCTTTCAAAGTTCTAAAATGAGATCACCGTGAAAACCACAGTGAAATATTTAATCACAAATAATACTCTAAATGGTCATGAATATCTCTGAAACAGAAAGAGGTTATAAAAGTAAAACCAACCATGATAAATATGGCCTATTTGCAAACTTTTATAACTACTTGGCTTCTTCATCTAGAACAAAGCCTGACACAGCAAAGATCCTTAGGATGGATTAGAGTGTCCAAAGCAGCAGATGTGAATATTTATTATAAACCCTCTTCCACTAAGTCTTTGCTGACAGAGGCATTACAAGTGGAATGCAGTTCCAGCTCCAATCTATAGGTAATTCCTCTTTGTGATTTTCTTAAGAATCAAAAATAACTTTTCTTCCTCATATACCTACTAAGATGAGAAATACTATTTTCTTGATTTTAAATCAATAAAAAAATTCACAGTTCAGATCTTCCTCTTAAATAATGAAAAGACTTAGTTTAAAATTATGATAATTTGTTGATATATAATCAAGGAAATCATCACCAGAAATACCTATAAAGTGCCTTGGTAAATTTCTAAATAATTTTTCAATAAAATAGGGAAAATTGTAACACTGAAGCCTATTGAGAGGCTTATGCAATTCAGCTGATCATGCATTGTATGTTAAAAAAAAACCCTCTTTGATAAAACAGATTTGAGCCAGCAAGTTTAACAGGGAGGTTTGTCAGATTTACTTGAACTCATAATTCATTTCCAAAAGGAGTATGAATTTATAATAATGCTCAATTTTACTTAATATATACTGAATTATTACATGACATAACATCTTTAAAGTTGAGTTTAAAGTTGGTTTTGCTAGAATGAGGATGCAAAGATTTTTTTAAGTTTAGAAGACTTATCAAAGTTATTTACCAAGTTGTTTCAAATATTATATTAGTATCCAGCTGGCCAAAGTGAGAGTAACAATTTCAAAGACCAAAGCCCTTATAATTGGTAGATTTCTAAAAATGTAGGGTAGTTATGAGCATGTGCTGTGGAAGGCCATGTGCAGTCGCCATTACAAGATGGCGCTGATTTCCTGCTTCTCTTTGTTTGCCTTAATCACAAATAAGACCTTATTTGGTCACCGTGTCTTTATTGGTCAACGGCTTGATCTCACGTGGGGTTAATGGTCCAATGGAGGCATGACACATGAGACTGATGGGCGGTGTACCGAGAAGGGGATAAAAGCCACACCCGGAAGGGTCCAAAAAGGAACTCCATGTTTTCTCCCTAACTGTAACTAACTCCTGAGTAAACTGCCGTGAGAAGGAATCGCTGGTGTGTTGTGTCCTTATTCCTGCTGGACAGGCAAGGCGTGCAACAATGTGCATGATATTTTTCTTTGTATCAGTGTTTGGTATTTATCAAACAACTAATTAACGTAATTCATTTATTCTCTATATATTTCTACGACTTACTGATGATTTGTTGATGAATAAAAAAATTAGTATTATAAATTAGCTTGAACAATGCCAAGAATGAAAATATGATAGGATTTATGTGAAATTTGAAATACAAATATTTATGTTAAATAAATTAGCCTCACAAAAATGGAAAACAGAGGGAATTATGTATACATTCTTATTTTAGATTGTTGTTGTTGTTGTTATGTGCC